AACAGATATATACAGTCACTTCAGCCACTGCATCTTACAGTGGTATGTTAATGGAACGCATCACTAATTTTAATTTATGCTAATGTTAAAGAGCATAAGGTGTCACAGACAGGGAGTAATTTCCACCTCATACATCTATCCTTGTAATGGGTATAGTGCACACATAAGAGGAGCTGGCAGATATCTGCGAGTAGCAATCATTTCAACCACTACAACTAAATTCACTTGTATTTATGAGTCAGTCTTCACACACTTCTGGTGACACATGCATAAATAAAGTTATTGCTTGTTTTTAATATTCTTGTGCAATTAAGAGAGTCATGCATGAAATCTTTTAAACCATATCAAACTAACACAACTCATTTTGGAATAAGCATTCAAATGAACACTACTAGGCAAAAAGTAGGGCATGCTCATATACTACATGTTGAGAAGAAACTCAAGTAACAAGTGAAAAACTGTTTTCCTTCAATATGTCTCATCAGGAGTACACAAAGAACTGCCATACTACACAGTACTACAGAACTGCATATTCTTTTGACAGAAAGCCTTTTTAAAAAAACATGTTACATTTTTTTTCCCTTCTCCCCCTTTTAGAATGCCAATTTCACTTTAATTTGACCTCCTCCTCAAAAGACCTCCTTTCACAGTACCAATCCTTCTTTCTCCTCTCACTTAAACAAACCAGTGTATTAGCTGAGAAGAAAAATCCTTGGTGCTGTAGGGCAAGCCTTAACACCCATGCTAGAAGAGGGATCCAATGGTGACCGTGTGTGTCAGGGGGTGCCATGTTTTACAATGCATTAGACAGTCCACATGACAAGAATTTTTTTTTTCTTTTTGGTGGGGAGAAAGGAAGTGTTCTAAGTGAGGCAGAAAGCAAGAAACTGATGGGTTTAAAACAGATTAATAGGGTAACTGTATCCCCTTCTCATCTCAAATTTTTTTCCTGTTCCCAAATTCTCAACTTAAGTAACCAACAACAGTAGGGAACAAAAGGATTTTAGTTACAAAGTATTTTGTTTATCTTAATACTGTACTATTGCAGCTGTGTGTTACAGCAATTGCAAGATGAACCATGAGACAGGAAAGCATTAACTAGCATCAAAACAAGCCACAAAGAGAGCTAAGGAAAAGAATGTTCCACCAAAGCCTGATCTTTCTTATTCCACCACAACTCGGGCTATTGACAAAAAAAAAAAAAAAGAAAAGAAAGAAATGGGGCTTGAGGGCACTACTTTATGCTTCTTGTCTGTGAAATCAACCAGTCCCATAGTGTGGAGCACAGTTGTTGGGAGGGTGGGGTGTTTTTATTTTAAATGAACACCCAAGATTTTTTAATTTTCACACCACTTTCTTTACTCTGATGTGTGTGGGGTAACCATTTTGGCTTGTACTAGAAATTCTCATCTCAAAATACACCACAACATGAGTGTTCTGCCAGACAGTGCAAGTAAACTGCTGCTTTTTGTCTTACTAAATATATTCATTTATTGAGGAGGAAGGCCAAAAAAGACCAGTCTTTCATAGTAAGGTATGCAAGGCAAATGCAATCATGGTCTAAACCAGGAAGAGACAGATTAACTAGTGAGTATGACTACAAATACAAGAAGCAGAAGAGCACAAGTACCCAGCTTTGGTCATACACCAGAGCCAACGAGTACTAAGCAGTGATAGGTAAGGAATATCCCTGCAGGGGGTCGTAGGAGGCCTCACAGAGTCTTCTGCAGCAGCAGTTAGAGAGGCACAGAAAGGCTGCTGGCTCTTGGCGATTTCATGGTGCCAGAGCTGCTCTGCCTCAGCTTCCCAGTCAGGCTCTAGGCTGATCCCGTCACAGGGCAACACTGTATCAGCAAGGATACAAGCTAAATATACTGGCAGAGTTTATAGTCTCTGAGATAGGTGCCTGTGACTAGTTATAAATGGCACTATATATTATCAGTTCAATAAATTTCAGTTCAGTGTCCTGAGAAAGATTCCAGGAAACGCTGTAGCTTCTACAGTTAGATTATTAATAAAGAGCAGTAACTGTGCATACTCTCAAGAACTCTCTCAAGAATTTACTTAAAAAAAACAAACAAACAGCAAGGACAATGGAGACACCAGTATTTTATTTTCCATGACAGCAAGACTACAAGTATTAGCACCTCTATACTTCACTAAGTTTACTCTTTCATTAATTTACATGAACTCCAACACTTCTATTCCAATGGTAGAACTTGAAATATTTTAAGAGAAAAAAGGTACAGGGGTGGGGTGGGGGGGGGTTGGTTTGTTTGGGGGGTTTTTTGATCGTTGGGTTGTTGTGGTTTTCTGGGGTTTTTTTGGTCTTTGGGTTTTTTTTTTTTGGTTTGGGTTTTTTTGTTTGTTTTTAAAGAAGCTGATGGAAGAACACAGCTGCTTTTGTTATAGGGACAGAAAATTTTTAAACATTCTTTTAAAATCACAATTCTGCAGTCTATGCCTTTGTCCCGCCATACAAGAAACTAAGTCCATACAGAGGAGGGTTTTCCACAAAGGACTATAATTTTCATTTCAAAACCAGGAAAATTTGACACATACAAAATACTTTTTGATGCTAATGAGCATGTCATTATTCAAATTCATTCCAAAACTAATTCAGTACAGCACTTACAAAATTAGCTAAGGAATTACCTATAAATTAGATATTTTCTTCATTCATCTAATAGCAAACTGGAAGTGAAAATAGAAGTTAACATCTAAATCAATTTCTAAACAAGCATCTTAACCTGAAAGGCAGCGAAAAGAAAAAGTGATATTGGCTAATTGATTTTTTTTCCCCTAGTTTAACGATAAAAAGCAGATTAACTGCAAGATGTAAGCACCTTGGATGACAAAATCTTCTGAGCAGATATGCTATTATACATTTCCCACACAAAATAAATTGGGCCCATTCATTAAGTTTCATTGGTGCAAAATACTAGTGTAGACATTTACACCATCTTAAGTTAAAAGAATTCAAGCAAAGAATTCAGTGAAAGCTGTCTTAGTAATGCATTGTTTTTTTCTTAAGCCAATGCAATCAATGTCAAATCACTGCTCTCATTACAGATAAGCACAGGTTTAACTAAATCCAATGACAGACAGTTTCTCAATATAAATGAAACCATGAAACACTTCTACAATTCTGTGAAATGTACACCTAAGTAATTAGTACAAAAAGCATGCCAATGGTGATATAAAAAGATTCATTAAAAATAATGTAAAACCAGAAAAATTCTTTGAGCTTTGTAAAAATTATTCTTAAAAGGATGTTTATAACTTGTTTTCCTCTAATAGTCTGAAAAAATAGTTTATTTTGAAAACTAACCAGTTCAATACAAGTGTCCAAGGCACATTGTAAAAAAAAAATTCAAAGAAAATTATTATTACCTGATATGTAATAAAGGTCCTTTAAAAGTGGTTAATGTTTTCTTTGCATTTTTTGGTTTGATCTCTGTTTTGTCAGTTTCCTCTGATTTGGAAATTTGTTCTATAGAATTCATCTGAGTAAAAATGATAGTTATAATGATTAACTAGAAACCTGGGTTACACATGTTACAGAATCATGCAGGTATTTCAAAGAATACAAGGAGGCTTATTTCAACAATTTATGTATTACAGACCAAGCTTAATATGTATTCATTCCCTGAAGCTGCTTGAAGTCCACTGAATAAAGTGATTTGTTATAGAAGTTACATAATTATTAAACATGCATGAAAACTTCTGCTTTGTTTTTTTCCATGTATTTTCCTGATGCCCAAGTTGGTTATTTTTGAAAGCTCCAGGCACGTTAGTTATAGTACTTCAAATATTTAAGATAAAGCAGTGATGTTATTCTTCCACTGCAAAAACTTTTCAATTAAAACAGACACCCCAATACAATCACTGCAACACTGAACAAAACACACAATAACAATTCCATACTTTATTGTATTGCAGAGTTACTAAACATATCTTCACTGCTTTTAGACGGAACTCTGAAGAATTGGAGAACTTAAAAGAAATAATGTTGATTGAATTGGTGCATCCAAAACTGCAGGTATCTTACATTCTGAGGGTTTTCCTCTATTACATTAAGAAAATAGATGTCAGCAGGCCTGAACATCTTATTATAAAAAATGAAAGAACTCTGGAATTAAGTGCAAAACAGGAGGTGGGCGGGAATACAGAAGACTGAAAGAATTAGTGACATCATGACTCAAGATCAGCTAGCTGAACAGTTTGCTTAGCCGTGTTTTTATTCCACTTAACATACAGAGAGAAGACATGAAGAGAATTCAGTTTATGTAAATTTGAAGTATGGGAATGAAAGGAATACAAAATTTTATAGAAAATAGGTTTTATAAAAAGAAACCATACAGGAATCTGATTTCTTTTTTAATAATTACAGTTATAGTAAAAGTTTAGCATGGAAATACACTGCACTAGTTATGTGTCAGGCTTTATTCTACATAAATCTAATTAAAATTACCGGAGAAAATATTACTACAGCACACATTAAAGGTGAAGGCATCTACAGGTCAGGCACTTACTAACCAAGTTTATCATTCATGGCTCCCTCTACTCTGCTGAAAGAAATAGGCTCTTCTACGGGATAAGAAGAGGCACACATATAAAATAAATCAGATAAATTCTTCGTGATGACAAAAGTCTACATATAAAGACTGGTAGTGCAGTAAATAATGAAGACGATATCTCACAGATTACTTGAAATCTGTTAGTTTGGAAGCTGGTCTTATTAAAAAAATATTTGAATATTTATATTTAGACACAGTCAGATAAAAATAATTAACTTAGAAATAAGGAATGCCAACCATTCTGAGACAATAAGCGAGTATTTCTGAAAAACACACTTTGGAAAAGAATGTAACATTGAAGTGGCAAACAATGCTGTACTTTCTGTGGAAGAAATAGCAAGTATTGTTCTTAAATATGTGAACAGAAGAATAGTGAGTTGAAGCAAAACAATAATCTACTTTTTACAGAAACAGTACCAACAACGAGATGGTCTGAAATTTTAGAAGTATGTTAAAGGTAAGGCCTTAAAGGTGCCTTAAGATTAACTGATACACGATGAGCATAAATGTCAATCTTAGTTCATTGAAAAGATTGAGTAGCGGCTTAATTACACTGTATAAAAGAGAATACCATAAAGCAAATCATTATTTTTAAGAGTGAAAAAAAGTGAAAAAAAAACCACCTTAAGTAGAAAGCTGAAGTCAGCCAAGCAAATTAAAAACAAGCACAGAGGCTATTAAGCACCAAACCCAACTCACACACTGAACAGGAATTCTCCAAGTTTCTGTATCTGAGAATCAGAGCTTGGAAGATATGCTACAACCAAAACAAGCTACTGAGTCTAATGGTCAGGAAGTCACCATGGCTATGTAATGCTTCCTTCTGACCTTAAGGTCAGTGAAATTATCTTTTTTTGAATAGCTGGCCAAGTTGCAAACAGCTGGACTACTTAAAGTGAGCTGTGTGTTTCAAATTATTCTGACAAGAAGTTAAAACAGTAAATGAAACTGAAAGTGTAATATTACTCTACTCCATTAAGCAGAAGTTTTTGCAATTCATCTTCCAAAATTAATTATGGCACTAAAGTGGTGAATTTCAGATTTTTCCTGCTATTTTCAAGAGCGATATCCCCACTCACTATCATTGCATATTCCTAAATATCACTTCATATAGACTTGTGTAAAACAATGCCTTTATATTTCTGGATAAACAGCACTGCAGGAAAATTATATTGTAAAACAGGATTGATGGATTAGGGATACAATTTCTGAATGAGACTAAATGAAAACTTTTATATGTTGAGATTTTATCAATAATTTAAGAAAACAAATTAACATCCAGCAAAGTATAAATATATAACTGTTAATATTTTCTCATGTACATACTGACCTAAGCATCGGAGAAAACTAGATGTATTTTAGGATGTACACCACCAGACATCCCAAGATTAAAAGTAAACAAACTAGAAAGACATAACCTTTGAAAACAAAACACAGAAACCTTTTCAATTTTACTGTACAATTCACTATATTCTAGAGATACACTAAATATTCAGTACAGATTTTACTCATTCAGAAGCATGAAACTGATCTTAACACTAAGAAGCAAGATTGAAACTGCAAGTATAATTTTCAGTTTTACTGGGTTCTTCTGTCAAACTAGAGGGGAGAAAAAAAAACTAAACACAAAATAAAAGCCTGACAAGAAACAAAAGTTATATGCCTTCTGTCTCACGTTGTAACCATTTAACGGTCTTGCCTCAATCTTCAGATTTAGATACCTTTTTCTGATTAAGGTTTTGTTCTTCATTCAGCTCCCCAGTCTCCTTGGTGTCCGCATCTATCTCTTCTTTACTTTCATGCTCATCTTCACTAGTAATGGGTCCATTTTCACATAAAGGCGTTTGAAAATCATCATCAACCAATGGAGGATAACTGTACTTGAAAGAATCCTAAAACGTAAGGAGATTTTTAAAGGACCAGTTATTTAGGAGGATGTGAAGTGCCTTCTCTAGTATTTTTTTAAATGGAAATACTATCAATTAATTTTTTGTTTCACATGACTTGTATGTTTCATTTATCCATTTTAAGCTGGACGCTTGTGTCTTTATTTATCATCATTAATAGACAAATAAACACAGTCATCTTAATGAAGCCACTAAATTGTAACTACTGTTGTTAATTATAGTCACAGCAGAACCATAGAATCTGGTGTATTGAAGATCAGCATTCAGAGTCTTAAAGCTTAAGTTTTGTTCTTAGTTCTAGGAAACATGGTTTAAAACCTATGACAGTTATTTCTAAAGAATATCCCAAAAGTGATGAACAACTTCAGCTGTTCCGTATTTTAGTTTCATAAAAGCCACAGTTCAAAAACCAAACCAAAACAAAACTACAAAATGACCCCAAACAATCCTTCAAGTTTAACCTAATGTGTGGACCTTTAACGTATCCTGCAACTCAGACCTCAATCTCTGGAATGCCAAATCATTTTAAAGACCATATTCAAGACACCCAAGTAATGTAGAAACAGCATACTTAAGTTCTCAATGCTTCAACAGTAAAGGTATCTTTTCTATTGGAGGATCAGTAAAAACCAGTTTTTGCTAACTAGAAATACTCTTAACATTCTCAAATAGTTTTATTACATCTTATGTAATAAAAGGAGGAGTTGAATGCACCATTAGCAAGTTTGCTGATGATACCAAACTGGGAGGTGCTGTTGACTCTCTTGAGGGACAAGAGGCCTTGCAGAGGGATCTAGATAGATTGGAGCATTGGGCAATGATTAATGGCATGAGATTTAACAAGAACAAATGCTGGGTTCTGCACCTGGGATGGAGTCACACTAGGCACAAGTATAAACTGGGAGAGGAGCGGCTGGAGAGCAGCCTTGCAGAAAGGGATCTGGAGGTGCTGGTCGACAGCAGGCTCAACAGGAGTCAGTGTGCCCTGGCAGCCAAGAGGACAAACCACATCCTGGGGTGCATCGAACACAGCATAGCCAGCCGGTCAAAAGAGGCGATTAGCCTGCTGTATTCAGCGTTGGTACAGTCTCACCTCGAGTACTGTGTGCAGTTCTGGGCCCTGCCATTTGAGAAGGATGTGAAGGTCCTTGAATGCATCCAGAGGAGGGCAACAAAGCTGGTGAAAGGGCTGGAAGGAATGTCCTATGAGGACTTTGGGCTTGTCTAGTTTGGAGAACAGGAGGCTGAGGGGCGACCTCATTGCTCTCTACAGCTTCCTGAGGAGGGGAGCTGGAGAGGGAGGTGCTGAGCTCTTCTCTCTGGTATCCAGTGACAGGATGCCTGGGAATGCCTCAAAGCTGCATCAGTCAGGGGAGGTTCAGACTGGACATTAGGAAGCATTTCTTCACCAAGGGGGTGATCAAACCCTGGAACAGGCTTCCTAGAGAGGTGGTCGACGGCCCAAGCCTGTCAGAGTTTAAGAGGCATTTGGACAATGCCCTTAATAACATGCTTTAACTTTTGGTCAGCCCTGAAGTGGTCAGACAGTTGAACTAGATGATCGTTGTAGGTCCCCTCCAACTAAAATAGTCTAGTCTATTATGTTAGAAACAGTATTTAAACAGGGTCTCTGTTCCTACTGCATTTTCAAACAGTTTTAAACTCCAAGTAAACGGAATCAGTTTATCAGCTGTTCCATTGGAGGAGGTAAGTAACATAGCTTTGACTTCTGTGACACAGACTCGAACCATGCCCACAGTTCTCAAACTATGCTACCAGCAGGGAGTTAAAAAAAGTGTTTCAAGAGAGTTCTCCATCAGCAAGTATATTTTCTCAAAACAAAGAATAATGTGACGGGGGGGGTGCGGGGGGGACACGCAGGGGAGAAAAACCTTAGATGGGGCTATTCAAAGAAACCCTAAACAAGACAGTATACTTCCTGCCAATCAATCAAGGCCTAAATCTCTCCTATTCTTCAGGCTGAAGCAACAGTCACAGACCTTTAGGTGAATGAAACAGGTATCCACTGGCTCAAGCAATATCTTATTAAGGGCCTAAAGGACAAGCTTTAAGTATCAGTAACAGACTAATTCGCTATTAGAAAAGACTCCAGACTGCTAGAAACATTACAGTCAGTAGGCTTATAGAATACTGACATCCTCCATTTGCAAATACAAGGCAGAAATAGCCAGCTTACCCTTAGCCAAACTGATAAAAAAGCCTTTTCACTCCCTTCCAGCATATGATGAAGGACAAATGACAAAGTGACCTTAATAAAGAGATGCTAATTTTGCTGCACATTTCACTTGGCCACATTAATCCATGATGCTGGACAGCTTCAGCAGCTGAACAGAGTCTCATCACTGGGACAACTCGAAGTACCAGACTTCCCAATGACAGTCCAGAAGTTTCAGTGACATAGGCTTATCTACTAACAGGGTGAAAACCTCAGACAGGTAAACAAGACAGATTTATTCAATGCTATATATCAAGCACTGAATAATTCTATAGTCTATAGAATGCATATAATGCATTCTATAGACTAATGGCTTTCTTTTATAGCATATGTAGAGACTTTACACTATGTTTGGCAATCATGGTAGAGATATCTTAATCATGGTAGTAATAATTTCTAAGATTACATGTACACACTGGCCATGAAATCACATGCAAAATGACTAGTGATATCTTAACTTCAGGCCACTGACCTATAAAAGGTTCTTCCAAGAAAACAAGCTATGGGCTATCAATTCAGATACCCAGATGAAAAGCGCAGCATTCTAGTACACATATTGTTCAATATTGGCAGCAGTGGAGGGAATCTTGGCTTTTACAAGGATGAATTGCCCATCTCTGATAAAGGAAAACTGGGCAAATACATAAACTAAAGCCCTACTGTATGTGCATGTCTCGCATCAACATGTACACTGTATGTACACCAATCTTGCACAAAATGTTATTGAAGAGGCAACAAATCTCCCTCGCCAGCCAGAAACATGTATGCCTTAAGAATTGGCCTGTTCCACCATTAGTAACAACATCTGAAACTGGCAGAACATGGGATACAACAAATTGGGAACGCAGGAAAACACTGACTTGCTATAAATTTATTAATAAATGAAAACGATTAGTGAGTGGCTTTTGAGCCCCTAACCCTAATTTTCCAGGTTGCTTATCATTAGCTTACTCCTAAAACTGTTTTGGGCAATTCCAACAAGTTCTCCAAGACAAACCTACTGTAAAGAGAGGGACATCTGTGAAGTATAGACAAGAACCACTCAAAGCCAGGTACATGGTATGCAACCACTTTTGATTAGCAGTATGTTAACAGCCACAGCCAACAGACACTGATGAGGACTTGAATGGAATTTATGTTAAGTTTATATTCTAAAGTCCTGCAAAATCCAAGCTTCTGTTTTCCATAATTAGTCTTAATACTTTTGATGCTCTGGAGACACTTTAGTCCACTGTCTAAAACCAGGCAAGTTATTTTCCTCCTTTCACAGCTGGCTGACAGAAAATCCTTGATCAAAGGATTTTCATGCTAAGGAAAGCCTCAGATTGATCCTTTGAGTGACCCTGAGCCACAGTAAAAACAAAACATACTTAAAGACAACTTGACTGAGATATTGAAGCTTGAAGGCTTCTGATGGAGACACAGGACAGTTCCCTTGATTAAGCAAAGTAATCATTGACTCCAAGTTCAATATTATTAATTCTATTTCCAAAAATGGATTTTTTTGTTAATTTCAAAACTAGTCTCTAACACTCTTCTTGGATACAGAGACTGTAAGTGCAGTGGAATCTAGGTATCTCCCTAAAGTAACTAGCCAAATGACCTGCTCCACTAGTTGCTTACATCTGGCAAGACCTGGCTCTTTCAAGATGGATCCTAGTAGTGGACACAGCAGAAAGAGGATGAGAGTCTACTTATAGCTACTGCATTGAGTACAAAGGCTGAACAGATACACTGTGCTCTTCACCGGCATTATGCTAGTTGCAAATATAATGATATGTTCCTAAATGTGGAAATAAAAGATGATGAAGAGAATTGGAAGGAGGCAAGAAAAAACCAAAAACCAAACGCTGGTATGGAGAGTAGAGGGAATTAACTTGTGCAAGTCAGCTACTGCCTTAAAAAAAACACAAACAAACAGGCCTGACAATACTAATAATGGTGAATGTACTCTATCTTCAGAGACTCTAGTTGCCTGAAGAGGAGCCAAGGTTAACCACATCAAGAAAAGTTAAATTCTGAGAAAAGGTCAGTAAGTTGTCTGTCTTCTGGTTGAAAAACTCCTTGCCATCAGAAAGATGCAAAATCCTGCTTTACTGTATGCACTGAAGAAATCTTTGGAAGGAGGATCCACAGCACAATTTTGGAGTCTGAGTATTTGCTAACAATGCTTCCAGATGCTGACAGTTCTGAGGTTAGAAGTTCAAAACACCCATCAAGTGGCAAAATACCAAAGAGACTCAGTAGTTAGACAAAACATCTGCTGGTTCAAAATACAGGGCTTTTAATATGCAGAGATATAGCTGTTTTTCTGAAATTGTCAAAACCCTTGGAGTCCTTGTCAAGCAAGTTTACTCCTATTCTACTAATTTATTTCTGTCACTGCAGCTTACTACCACAGATGAATGGGTTGGATAAGCTGCTCTGTGATTCTGGTACTTGTTAATGCTCTTAGAAGACAGGCAACATGAAGCCAACTTTGTCAATCACTAACTGGCAATAAGACCTTGCAGGACCAAGGCAGGATAAAAGATAACTAAGACTGTGTGCTCAGCCAAATACTTCAGGAAGATATTTAGCAAAGCCGCAAGCTTGCTTCTTTAAAGATGTAATTAACTATCAGGTAAGATGGTCTAAAAAGCAGACAGGAGATACTCAGCTCTAGAAAGGAGGAAAAGAACTTCCCCCTCTATTGCAACAATAAGACAACACTGTGGGAGCTAGGCCCAGAACCACTGCTATACCCCATTCAAATCCTTACTGAAGCCACTTCAGACATCATCAGCCCTTCCCTCAATGCCCACTCCTGAAGTTCAGCAATTTCAGCTTTCTCTAACGTGAGAAAGTTCTTACAATGAGACTGGGGAGTTTGGGCAGCAATTTTCCATGGAGAAAAAGGATATCATCTTTTCTTCAAGTGTCTCATGCAACAACAGTTTTTAAAGGCTGCTACTTTCAGTCAAATAAAAAACGAGGTACCTTAGTCTTTATGTTTCCAAAATAAGTTTCAGATGTTCTGGCTACCAGAACTCTACCTTGAGTTTATATACAAAGGAACACAGCCTCTCCTACTGTTGTTGAAGCAGAGTCTTCCTTTTCTCCATGTTGTTACTGCCATAACTCCAAAAACACTTCAGAAAAAAAAAATGGAAAAAACAAGTAAAAATAACTTCTCTACAGTAGGCTTATTCCATTACCATAAACAGTCTACAAAAATTTTAAAGTTAAAACATCCTCTTTCTGGAAGTTCCATTATAAAGATCATGCAAACTGATTTACTGTTTTGTGAAAAATGAAACCTGTTGTACAAGATGCTTGTGTTTTGCTATTTAGATTGCCCTAGAATAGGATCCAGGTTCTGTCAAAGTGATACCAGATTGTAGCATACTCTTTGGAGCTCTAATATGCTCTAAAAAAAGAATCTTCTACAGCCATGTCTTAAAATGCAGCCCTAGAGACACAAAGGAAAAATAATTGCAATATGATTATCTTTACTGAATCATAGCTTTGGAGCAGGATGAAAAAAAAATCTGAGGGCCATGAAACCTATTTTCTGTTCACATAACTTGTTTCATAAACCAACACATAATCTCTAACTCATTAGGTGGGGAGAAAAAAAAGAGTAGAAGGAAGAATGACACTTAAAATGGATTTTTTTTTTTTTTTAAAGTCTGAAAAACGAAGCAGTTTCCAGTGACTTGAAAGTAGATGAATGATTCAGAAAAGTTATTTCTGTACTGAAGACTGCCAGATATCAAATTCTCATGACGTTAACCCATTTTATATTAATGTGATTTACAAATTATCATTGGCAGAACAACTTCAGGAAATTTCACATCCACGAAGTGCCAACTCTCAACCCCACATGTGATTTATATAGACATGTCTCAATATCACAAAAGGACCATGAAATGTTAATATACTTACAGTTCCACCCATGTGAGGTGGCAGATACTCTCCACTGATGTATTCCTGTACATCACTCTTGTTCGTGAACTTTAACATGCTTATTGCATCTGGGCCAAGCCAACCCTTCACAATTTTAAAAGCAGCTTTAAAAAAACCAAAAGGTATACATAAGTTGTCAGGAAGGGTTTTTTTGCAGTGTATTGGTAGACATTATGGAACACAAGCGAGCTACATCCCATAAGATATGGCAGGACCTGCTCTGAAAGTATCTATTTTAATGGGGATAAACAGTGCAAGAAAAAGTATTATTTACCAAGAAAGTATTTTATGGACATACACTTTTCTATAGATGAATGCAGATAGACCACAGACTTTCATGGAAAGAGTATCTTTGATTTAGCAAATGACAGTATTATTGTTTTGGAATTTAGCCCAGGAAGTACTGAGGGGGTAAGAGCAATTGTATTTCCAAATCTGAGTTTTTTTTTTCGCTCTTCCTAGTTGAAATGTTTTACTGCTTTAAAGGATACTTGTTTAGATCTACAGAGTATTTTCAAACACCATAGTTATTTCAGTGATGGTAAAACACGAATATACAGAAAAATATAAAGCCAGCATAAAAATATGTATTCATATGGTAAAATATAGGAATAACATGTTTATCCTGTACATTATAATTAAAGGTAATCATTGAAGTATACATATCAAAATGTATGTAATATCAGTGTCCACTATCAGGCATCTATCTTAAATTGTATATTCTAGTTTTTGGCTAGTTATAAGTGTCCATCATTTGTTGATGATGGTATTCCTAAATCATGAACAGATCTAGCTTTGAAAGGACTACAGTTGGAAACATTCAAGGAGTAGACTATTTATCAAGGTCTCCCAAGCTTTAAAGATAACAGGATGAATACAAACCCCATTTAAAGTACAATCCAAAATACAATGCTAGAAGGAAAAACAAAAAGTATGCAACCTACAAATAGACAGATTTAAAGATGCATGTTTAACAAATTCCACCATTCAGCTGTATCTACACAGAGCAGAAAAACGCTTCCTATTTATGCTACTAATTTTAAAGAGTTATCATGATCTAAAAAAAAATACCAACCACAAAATCAAACAACAACTCACCATTCATTATCCATGGCATTTCAAAGATCACTATCTTTGCTGAAAAGACAAAAAGAAAAGGAAATAATCTGAATACCAAGTATTTCTCTGTTTAAGAGGAAGCACAGCAGTAACGGTCATGTAAAAAGTGAATACTCATTTTCAGAAACCTCCATGTTCACTTCCCTGTAGAAGCAATTTTGTATAATTGTTTAACATGTATAAACCTATTTCTATTACTATATAAAGACCTTAGCTGTTTGTTTGGAAAACAGTTAATAGAATTCTAAGTTATAGACTGTTTATATACTTCTTTTGGGATACTGCTTTTCTGACATACTGTTACTAATAAGTAATCACCCCAAATAAGGTGGAGAAAGGTAAGATCTCAACCTGACCTAGAAAAGTAACTATTGAATGGAAAATAAAGTTTAACAGGTGAATTCAGCACCTCTTCTTACCAAAGAAGCAAATAGCAAGAATCTTTGTAAATCTACATTTTTTCCAAGCTTGCTTTGTTTTAGCAAAGAAGTTTGAAAAGTTAGTACTTTGACTCAGAAGTGTCCCAAAATTTTTCTCTTGAATGTCAAAAAACCAAAAACATGATGTTGCACTTGCCTTTAAGTTTCATATTTGATCAAAGTTTTGAACTTCGATCAGCAAGCTGAAATCTAATATTCAGAGTTTAAGCAGTTGCTGTACAGAATTTCAATATTCAGACATATTTTCACCTAAAATGTATAACTCATGTAAGATGAGCTGGCAAAAACTATTCCATGTTTGCCTGTCCATAAAAAAGTTAGCAGGCAAGTATAGGTTTTTCCAGCTGTGCACACAAACATGCCTTAATCTGTTCAGAGCAAACCATTGCTCCCTAAAATTTTCTATAGTCATTCATTCTTTGTCCCCTGAAGACTCCTAAAGGATAAAAAACTGTCATACAAGTTTGCAAAGCTTCTACCCAAGTAACAAGGAGCAAAAGAAAAAACAGGCCAATTCAGTTCTACTAGATGCTTATATCAATTTTTAATCTGTAAAAACATGTCTTAGATTCTTATTTCATGAAAAGCCAGTTGATTTTTGATGACTGAAGTTTTAGTTGTGCTGACTTATGAGCACAGAAGTATTCTGAATCTGCAACATCCATGTGTTCCACGTAGTTACCACATAAAGCACATGCAAAAAGACTTAAAGTCTCTCCCATCACCTGCAACATTATGAAATACTCTTATTACACATCTACAGTGCTTAAGATGTAATTTACAATACTTACTGAGGAAGTTTGGGTAATAATCTGTAAAACAGTTGACAATAAACCGAACAAAATCCAAGTCCTAAAATAAAAGTACAGAGTAAACACAATACAATCAAAATATTAAAAATACAGGCTTAGTTAAGCTCAGGCATATATTGAATAGCACAAGATACTTAGATTGTAATCATCTATATTTAAATTTTACACATACTACAAACATCATCCAAACTCAATGCAATGCTTTTCATTAAATTGCTGCAGGATTGTGGTCAAACTTCACTTTATGATGTAATAAAGAAGTCAACAGACCTATTATCAATGTGATAAGTTAGATATTTAAACTACTGCAGAGTATCAACAGGATTTAAGCTGTACAGGAAAGATGCTGGAAAAATAAATCTTTAGCACTAGAGAAGCTTGACAGATTATCTTAGTGCCTCACAAGGGAGAGCATAAACATACTGAAAATTTCCTTTCAATAACTTATCTTGCATGTTGTTCAATATACTACTGCACTCAGGATCTTCCAGAGAAAAAGTAAGTTTTCCTTTTAAGAGAATTTTTAGTTTAAGTATTAGTTTGTGGTATGCAGAGAAATTGGAGGCAAAGGCAGCACTCAAAAGAGCTGCTTGTATACCACCCACTTTCAGGGTGCTTCCATCCAATGAGACGAGTCACACAGAAGTAGTATAGCCAAGTCTCCATTGCAAAATCCAGGTATAATAGAACTGACTACACAGTAAAGGGCAAAAAAGGCATTTTATGAAACAGGAAGATAATAAAGTAAGATATGCCTTACCACAATAAAGTATTACAAAGGAGACTTTCAGAAATAGTACAAAATATATTGCTGACGGAGAATCCAAAGCCTGTCATAACAGTAAAAATGCTATGGAGCACAGGCTCTTAAAGTGATGTAAACATGCTATTACAACATTTGCAGACAGACAGGAAAAAAAACCAGCACACTGTATAAGAGGATTACTCACAACCTGAAGGTTTTTAGTAGCTTCAGTAATCAGAAACTAACTGAAAGCTTGATATCTTTAGATAGTAGGCAGAAGGCAGCCTTTAATAGAAGCATTTATCTCAACTGGCTGTTGCTTGTACTAAATGCATTATCTTTCATTTAATAGCATAAACAGTGATAGATTTCCAAGCAGTGATTAGAATCTCCTGTGTGTTAACAAGGATACTGCTCTTTATTCTGCTAACTATACAAAAGCAGCATTATCAGATATCAGGAAGATGGATCCATTATTTTGATGAAAGTCTGGAATTAGGAGTACAGATTTCAGCAGACCATTCAATAACTGCATCTATTCTAGTTACCTGAACTGATGCAACAAGGCATGGCCTATCAGAATCGCTTGGCTGCATACCAGTCATAAAAGCTGACATAGTAGATGTCCACAGCAATGGAACAAACAAATGAATCATACTGTGGAAAAGATCTCAAAAATCCAAGTTCTTTTAGGATAAAATTTATCAATTACTCTACATGGCTACAAACAGCCATTAAAAAAAAATTCCTGTTCTGTGATAAATGTACTAAGTACAAAGCAAGGCTGTACAATGGGACACTTATGACAGCACTTGCTGAGATTGTGTTTCTGGAAGTCTCAAAGACACTGGAAAGAAGTTGCTTAAGGATATGCTCCACAAAACCTAAATCAAGTTGCTTTTTCACATCATGGAAATTATTACAATCCTTTATTCTTGTTATATAAAACCATAGCTCCAGTATTATCCTTAGCAGTATGGATATGCAGCTTTCAAGGCACAGGTAAGAGCACCAATCCTGCCTTGCAAAACTGAATTACACCATATTTACTCGTCAAAATATCTTCTCAAAAGCTTGTGGCCCTGTACTGCACAGCTGCAAGGTCCTAATGCAACATTAACCATCTTGCCTGGAAAAGATAGAAAGCAAGTGGGGTTTTTTTTTGCTCATATTTAAATTTTTTTTGCCATACCAACAAAAAAGAACGAACGAGATACAACTTTTAGCCATTCCTGTAAGAATAAGAGGACAGCAAGGCATTTTGTAAGAAAAATTTTAATATTCTATAGAAATAAGATTTTTTTTACCTATAGACAATCTATGAGATTTTTAGTTATTAGAGTGAATCTATAAATATGTAATGATAGGCAAGATCTCCATTCTGCAATCTAAAACAGCTTAGATTCTGTTCCTGAAAGTGGGTGCTAAAAATGTACTTCTCTACTGAACTCCGACGAAAAATCTACAGAGTTCTCTGTCATTCTCTTCAGCTATCTACTCTTCAGCTATCTACATTAAAATTACTCAAATGCCGCCTCCCCCCACCCCTCAAAAAAAAATTACTCATTTTAGGTTGTCTAAGTTGAGGATCAGTAAAAATGTAGGAGGTGATACTGTTCTAATCTTCTAAACATGCTTCTACAAAGTAAGTCTTAAAGATGCCTGTAGTAAACTATGGGTATGCATTTGTGCTTTCTTTATAGAGATACTAATAGGTAGAAAATCAGACCCAAAGGGAGGTACTACAACATACATTCACTCCTAAATCTACGTAAGTTTAAAAAACGCATTTTCATTTCCAAATTTCAGAAGAGGACCTCAACCAATAGATAAGCTGCAGCTTAATTCTATGCCATTAACCAGATCAAGCTCTATTGGTAGTTGTAGTGTATCATTCAGACTGTATTAACAGCAACTGTAGATAAAGCTGATGCCGAGATCACAAAAACGGATCACAAAAAACCAAACCAACAGATCTGGTGAATTTAAATATTCACTGTAAAGATGACAACATAAAACAAAGATTACACCTGGTGCACTTAGTTCGAAGTAAATCTAGTGATCCAGATAATAATCAGAACTTCTGCTTTATAACAAAAGCAGCTTTTGAACCAGGAGATTTTCATAAGACATACCTAAATCCAACTAAGGAACACTCTTAGGAGCAAAATCTGTATTAAAAACCTCTAGAAAAATACACAAAAAGTCCAGGTGACAGCATGCAACCAGTCAGTGTACTGATGAGTGTTGAGAAGGGAGAAGAAAGTATTGGGATCAAAAATTCTATCTCAAAGCAAGGGAAGTGAAAAAGAACTACAGAAAATAAAACCCACAGGACGCAGTTGGCAATTCTGTCTTCAACTGCAATATATTTTAAATAACTCCACAAGGAGCAGTTTGTCATTTTGGTCCTCATAGAAGTGCTGACACATACGACATATGAATACCAATGGACATCAGCAAAAAATCCCTATCTCAAGCTTACTAAAGTAAATACTTAAACAAGTGAACCAAATATATTTATTAATATGTTTTGTAGGTTGAAATCCATCATCTCAGAAAAACTGTTCACAACAAGTATGTACTAAGGCAATTGTTTGCCTCCTGAAATAGAGAACAGCATTTCTGCATCACAATAGAGAAATACCATACTGAGCTGAATCTCTAGCACAGTTGGACTAGAAGAAACCCCACTCTACATATTACAATACTGATGCTACTACACTACAAACTCAGTATAGTTCAGCAACCTTCAAAGACATGCAGGTGTATGGATGCCAAGTTACAACAGGTTCAGATAGTGTGCAAGAATCACTGAAGCAAAAGCAAATATGGAGTATCCTGGAACACTATGAAATTCCAGAGGTCATGTAAAAACAGATACTTAGGTGCTTTGTGAAAGCTTTAGTGAAAATGAAAGATACTCAACTACAGGATTTCTAAAGTAAAAACATTCCACGGGGAGGAGTTTGGGGGAAATGTTAACATTTCACAGCAATGTTTTCAGGGTCAGTTTATGAAATATTATGGCCAAAGAGACAATAAATAAAGCTTTTGAAAATTCAAAACCCCACAAATCACGTTCTTTAGATCTTCCACATTTCCATACAGGCACAGGACTTAACAATTAAGACCACTAATTCAGAAACAGTTCTTAAATACTTTTAAGTTTCACGTAACATACATGAACAATTTGCTTAATTCCAATGAGCATCTAAACTTAAAACATTCTCTGAAGTTTACTTCCGGCAGAGAGATACCCAACCCTATGTACAACTACAATAAATCTCTAAGTAATTCCCAAAGTAGACTACTGACTTGACATATGATTAATTGGTATGCAATTCTTTTTTTTATACTTGTTTCCAAATACCTAGAACATGGATTTTCAAGTACTTCATTCTGAGATGTTTTTTAAATTGATGAAACTTTGAATTTTGTAAATTATTGTACAAACGGGAAATAGGTTTCTGGAATAGTTTCCAAAACTGGTATAATTCCTCTTGGCTTCTCTAATGATTCAGTTCTACAATTATATCCAAGGCAAAGGTGAAATCCTACTGTTAAAAATCATTAGAATTTTCTTATCCAATTGCAATCTTTTGAATAATCATCACTTTTACAGAAGTGACTGAGCTACACTGCTCCTCCTTGATTTTGTAGTCCTAAAGAACATCTAGAAATGCACAAAGACTTTTGCTAAGAGAAATGTCTTCTCTTCTGAATGAAAAGTTGTAATCTCTCATTTATGTAAGGTCAAGCTTAGAGGAAGTAGTCTTCAGTAAAGCTGACAGGTTGGACAAGGAACTGAAGAAGGGGATGAAGATATTATTCCTGAAGAAGTATAAACTTGAGTCTGAGACTTCTGAACTGTAGGCCTATCAGACACTCATTTTTTCTGTATCTGCACACAGCAACAAGCATACAGATTTCTTCATCATATTAGTCTCATCATTGTAATAACGTGTTTTGTTAGTAAGAGAAAAGGTAGACTTGGGCTATATTTGGTTAAAATGAATACTGAAAGCAATGCCTACTTAATGACTGCTCTTTCACATCCAGCTAGCTTCTCTTCACAACAAAATTCAATGGGTGGAGAGAGATGCATGCAGGGACTTAAGAAATCAACGCAGTTTAAACATACAGAGACAGCATACATAGCATGGAGGATGGAAAGCCAGGACCAGTTGACAATTCTGATCCTGAAGATCCCAACTTGTCAGAACAGATCAGAGATCTCAGGCACTGCATCTAAGGGTTTTAATGCTTCATCATTACCCCATTTTTCCATCCTCCACTCATGAGTGACTGATTCGTCCAAAAGAGATGACGACAAAGAAAATGGAGCTGTTGAAGAAACAGCAGTATCTGTACTCACAGTAGAAGATGGCTCAGCCTATTGCCTTCTGGGTGCTTAAAAACTAAGTTCTACTAGTGTCATCCATGATGACTGACAAACCAAGCTAGTGAGCAACTACTATACATAGTCACTCTGGCTCAGTTACCAAACTAAAAGCAAGTTTTCAGTGTGCTGTACACGACAAAGTTTAATACATAACAAAAGATTTTGGAAACTGCTCATGTCACGGGAAGAAGCCCTACATATCACTAATGTGAGCAATTGTTAAGTTATTTAGCTGTCAAGGACTGCACAGGGACTCCTGTTTTTCTGGGGACAAGTTAAATAATTCAGAAAGAAGTTAGAAAAACACAATAAAAATACTTACTATGTGACTGATTCCAGTTTCAGCCATGTCAAATACCACTGTTAAGGGCTTCCCATGATCTCTCTTGGCATAATGTTCTAACCAAAAAGCTACCAGTTTCTTTTTCTCAAGTTGTTGTTTAGGATCTCTTATATGATGTTTCACTCTGAACCAAACTTGAGAAGAAAAACACACAAAATTTGAAACAACAGATCCAAATTAGCAGGAAATATTATGCAAATTATACAGGATGCACTGAAATTTATTAACACCTCTCAGTTTGTATTCTCCGCTTCTACTGATTTTTGTGGCCACTGAACAGCCAGAGAAACAACTGCATACCTTTCCATACACACCCCTTTCCCTGCCCATATTTTTATACTGGAACTTTTTAAAAATTGGAAATACAAATAATAACAGCACAGAAGAAACAGCAGAATGGAAAAATACTTTTCATGTATTTAAATACTACTTCTTATCTAGATTATTACTTCATAATTTCAAATTAAATCATGCGGTCTTCAGATATGATATTATGTTCTGCGTATATTCTAAGTATTGTTGTGGTTGTGCAATTTATGTTTCTTCTTCTACTTAAGTTTTCTACAGCATTGTAGTTGATATGTTTTGAAAAAACTATTTATAGACACATTATGAATTATATAAAAAGCAACAGACCTCTCTAAAATAAAAAGAAAAAATCCAGAAAGTGACCAACATTATATAAATGAAAGCCCAATACATACCCTCCTGGAGTAAGAAATGAGTCAGGCAGAGACAAGTTTTTCCATGAAAAATAGCGTATTTCAAACTAACAGACTTAATAAAAATGTCCGAAACCAAATTACTGATTATACAATGAAGTAATAAAAGAAGTATTTGGGGCAGCAATGTGAAGAACAGCCTTCATTTTTGCTACCTCTACAATACCAAATTCGACAAGCCCTGAAAATAATTGTAGATATACTCTAATATTTTTCTCCCTGAAACTTGGAAAGTCTTGCTAAAAAACCAGATTTCTTCTCCATGTCTTTTACTTCCAATTGCAAATAAAAAATATTTTATGGCTTGTATAAAGAAACACTTTTTTTTAAACATAGTATATTAACTAGATGCTGTAAGTTCTGAATTTCAAAAAGATACCCCTATTCAAACACAGGACTCCTGTGAAAGTAACTTCTTTATACTTTCAAACGTCTATTTTACAGAACAGAATGAGAATGGAGCATGTGGCCCAAGAAACACATTTCTCAAATGCTGACTAACCAGGAACTCTTACCTATGATACAATCTGAATTTGCATACCAAGTCAGATATTCTGACCCAATTAACACTCACAGAAAAAAACACTTCAGGTATGGAAAATTGAGTCATTAGTTATGTTTCAGTGACAATAAAATCAGAAATCATTATTTGCCTGACTTACACATTCTTGTCATGAAACAATTGCGTAATTTTTTCAGTCCAAGCACTGATGCAAGAAAGTTATGTTTTTTCTACTTCTTCCCCTGCCGCAATCTCACCAAATTGAATCACCCAGTATAATCACAATCAGCTTTCTAAACGCTATAAAGATATCACCACCACTCATCCTTGAATACCTACCTTGGAGGCTAAAAGAAAATCATGAAGCATAACAAAGCAGCAGTTTTTCATACAGCACTGATATCTTACAATGATAAGAAAAGCGTCAGTCTGACAAAACACAGCCACAGAATAAAAGCTGTATTCTTCTAGTAATTTTTTTTTTTAAAAAACTAGTATAACAGTGTTTAAAACAGTAATTTCTGTAAAAGATTAGATTGTTAGTGTATTTCTGGAATACACTACAAACTAGACCTTGTAAGCCAAGGAAAAGCAGAATTTCAGATTTAAATTTTTGGTTTTGTTCAAGGTTCAAGATCTTTGCTTGGAAAGCTTCATGAGTTACTTGTTTTAAAAGCCTCTTTTGCCTCACAGGATTTAAGCTTAATTAAATGTAAATATGCGAGATGTTACAACAGATTAGTTTATAGAAGATAATATCGCCCATCTATTGTACACTATTAAAAAAACACAGGAGTATTTCAGGCAACATTTACTGTCTCCCTACAAATCTTATTCTTTAATTACTAAAAGTTAATCACACAACTTGAGAGTTCATTCCCCAACAATTCTCAGCTGTTCACACTGTTACTGAACATTCCAATGAAAGAACAAAACAAGTAAACCACTGCAGACCTCCTATGAACCACTGCAAGTATGCAAGAATGTGGGCTGCTAGAAAAGTAATGACAATACACTATAATAATGAACTAGCCATATACTCACCACACAATACACTTCAACAGGAAAGTTAAAAATTGTACTATAATTAGGATAAAGGTTTATGATTTTTGAAAACTGCTGATAAAGTTTCTTCACTCCACTTCTATGATCCAGAGAGATACTCAAAGTTGCCAGCTTCTCATCGTTTTCAGTAAAAACAGTTGCCAATATGTACCTTCTATTTTTAAAACATTTTTTTTTCAAAATAGATGCCAAAATGCTGCAAACAAATTAATGATCGATGACTGAAAATATTATATTCTGTGTAACTTACATAATTTATAGCCCTCCTTATCATATCCATGCAGAAAGAGAGAACCATTTTCAAATAACCATTTTGGAAGGACAGATTCTGTCAAGTCTGCAAAGCGAAATGAAAGATTATTTCAGTAATCATATTAATAATCACATTGTAACTTAACACAAGTCACTAAAAACGCAGAAGTCTAGCAAGAAAATACAAAACTGTCTATAAACTACTTTCCCAGGCCTTTGCTAAACTAATGCAAATACTGAGCTCATTTGAAATCTTTACTATCTTCTTCCTCTCACGCTGTAGAGTAGAATCTATTTAGAAAGAAATAAGAATAAAAAATTGATGTGAGAAAAAAAGTGCTGCAAATGCTTATTTTTGCTCATATCTGCAACACCTCTTGCTCTATCCTCTAATTCAGATTGTGAAGTCCTGTAGATAAAGCTGACCTTCAAAATATTCTCACAGCACAAAAAACAGATCTATTCTACCTCAGGTGTCAGACCAGTGCTACTATGACGAACAACAGATCCCTATTTTTTTGTGGGGTTTTTTGTTATTTGGTTTTTTTAAGGACTCCATTCTAGCAAATGCACAAAGACAAAACAAGAGATAGCTGCCTTCCTTCCTCTTAAACAACCCTTCAACAGACATATGGAACCACAACAAAACAGTGAGACAGTACTGGCCAACATAAAAAGCAATAGTTCTAATTTTTCCTCTTTTTTTCTTTTTTTTTTTTAACTGAGTAGAAAAGTTCTTGCTTAGCTCTCTGTGGTACCAACAAAACCTTTAAAGGGTGCTTAATGTAACTACATATAAAAGTCAGTTGTAGTTCAATAGGAAAGCAACATACAACAACAAAATCATTATATAATATAGCTTACCATTAACTGTATATTCTTTCCTCCACTGAAAGCTTTCATCAATCATCTTTAATGTATCATCCACAACATCATGACGCCAAATCAGATAATTTTCAACCCATTTATCATCTTGGTGAAGTCTTTCCACATCTCTAGAATCGTATTTATCTGATTTATCTAGCAAATAAATCAATTATTGTAAGAATGTAGCATTTGCTATGAAAACATAAAAAGGAGATTTGTCAAGTTTCAATATAAGCATCTACTAGGTACATAGAATTACTTTTGCAGTCTCAAATTTAAGCAGACAAAGCATAGCATGAGAAATTGATTAAAAACGTCTATCTCCTGTGATGATATTTAGGAACACTACAAGATCACTCACACTAGAAAAATATTTTCTGTGATTCTTACTCAAAGAAAAAACATCAGAAAACAAGAAGGTGTGTGTAGGGCAGCTGTAATTTTTCTAAAAACAGCTTTCTATAATTAACAAATCACTATATAGTCTAAGAATCTGTGTACTGATGAATGTATATATTAAGCACCACTAGTTCGAGTTTGAGTTCTCAAACTTACAGGCATCAGCATGTCAGACCACGAAATGTCAGACAGCAGATGTTAAAATAACTATTTTTGGCCACACGCTATACATCATTGCATTAAACAAAATTGTTTTCTTTAAAAAGATTACACATTCTACACTCGTTATAAATTGTAACCTTACTGAACACAAACTACATGCAACTCTAGAGCAATACAAAACCCCCAAGCCTCAAACTCTTCTTCTATCAAGTTAGCAACAGGATAACAAGTTAACACGCTTTAGGAAGTACTTCAGATGAAACAGGAGTTGCTGCTGCTCCTTACTTTTTTTTTAAATTATTTTTTAAACAGGAAAGTTTGTAAAATACAAATGCTTAAGTGGACCTATTTTTATTGTAGATGCGCTTAAACAAAGGCTCAGTTTTTAAATCAATGTTCCTCTTTGTCCAAGAAATCTGCATCATTGGAATGTAAATCAAGTAAGAGCCCATGATAGAAACAGGCTTCTGAAAGCCATAGACACTGATACAAATCTCTTTGCTAACTACTAAAAAACATAAGTTCTTAAACTATTCACTTAAATTTATTTGTGATTAGCACGAAAAAAATTAAGACTGGTTGTTAATAAAATAGATACTAGTTTTCATATACTGCAAAGACTATTCCTGTGTCAGCAGCAATAAACTCAAAATAACTACTTTCAGGGCCATCATAATTAAAATAACTATTTAGAACTGTGACTCGATGGCTTAGGGATGCATATTTCAGTCAGACAACTCTAAGGAAGATGTTAAGAAAAATACACCATTAAATTCCGCTAATATTTTTAGTTTTACTGGCCTACATGCAAAGATATGACCTATTTTGCTTGTCTTTCAATTTATACTGTTTCCTGTCACAAAGTAACTGTAAGAATATACCCATTTTAAATGTGTCCATCCACTAAGAGTTATTATAGTTGCACTCCCCCAATGCATCTCTTCACATCCAACTGCTTCTTACATATATTATGTATTCAATTCCTTCTTTATTAGATTTCAGGTTTCTCCTTCCCTTGATCCCAACCCCCAACCCGCTACCTTATCTTGTTCCTAAACCAAGCCTACAGTCAAATCCCACTTTCCTTAATCTTAGTCCCCTACTTGCTCCTCTCTGCCCATAAACCTCCAATCCACTAAAAACTCTCACTCTTTCAGTACCTTCTCTCATCATTTCCATACTTTTACCAGACAGCTCATTCCCTATATTCTAAGTCCAGCAAAGCAAACACTCAGCACAAGACTGAGATGCTGTTTAATCTCTCTGTGGCTGTAGGTCAACCACAGAAGGAACAAGTTGCAAAGATTTTGGGTATTAAATTTTGTAAAGTCTCAACTGCTCATTTCAAGTTTGATTATTCCCCCAATGATTTATGATTTGGATAGTCTTGCCTGAGAAACAATAACAGTACCTAGTTTCAAGTTACAGTCATAAAAAATAACTTTGGAGAGGATTTCTCCAGGTCCTAACTCCTGCTCAGTCCTAACTCCTGCTCACAGCAAGGCTAACTCCCAAGCTCAAATAGGTCACTAAGTACCTTTTCCAGTCAAGTCTTCTACCCTCAAAAGGGTAGAGAGATTCCACAGCCTCTCTTCGTACAACATGCATTCCAACCCCAATCCCCTTCAATAATATTGTCATGTACAGTAACTAAGCTGGCACATCCACAGTCAGCTAAAGTAAGAGAAGCATTGGCTTCTCTCAGCCATGATATATTAGCTATTCTATGCTATGGATTATTCAATATGACATATTGTCTATTAAGCCATTCATAGACAACAAACTAGGGCTTTGCAAGAGCAAAGATTTATTTTAACATCAGTATTACATGTCTCTAGTGCCTGAGCTACCTTACTTCAACTTGGTTTAATAATCTCTAACATGCACTAGCTTCCAGCTAAGAATGACTGCAGTTAATCAATCAGCCAAGTATTTTTCCAAGATCAGTCCCATGTATATCCTATTTGTATAAGGGATTTGAGTACTTTGTAATTAAAGAAAAAAACACACACCACCAGGTAAAAACTAAGAGGATAATGTTTCACACTGCTTTCTGAGGCTCTCCGTGCTCTCAGTATCTATTTCAGAGCAGAACTGTCAGAATGACAGAATAGTGCATCTTGTATCAAAAAATAATGATATGTGAATTTTTTTAAATTATGTGGAACATGCCTCAGAACACATGTTTCTGGGTCACTAACAAGTTTTCCCAAACTCTGGACTTAGATAATATTAAAAAAGACATTTAACTTTATGAATATTTTAAGAAAATGAAAGTGAAAGAGGAATGGAGAAAACATTTTATCCAAGCTTTCAACATCACAATGAAAAGCCAGCTGGATTCAGAGATAGGGACAGTTGAAAAAAAAAAATTAAAATATTTTTCCTCTCTTCAGCAACTAAATTCTCAACAAGATCACACATGTAATCTGAATTTACATATACACAACACCACACTAAAACAGGTACTAGTCAAATTCTGCCTCCACAGGCACTTGCAGAATACCAGTATTTCAATCAGGTAAGCTTAACAAGACTGACAGAGTAACAGGAGTACCGATTACTGTTTTAACCCTACCTGATTTATCCAATTCTTGCTACAAAATAAATTAAATTTAGAGTGAGATTGTGAACCCAAAATAAATGTGTTTTATCTCACACATATAAAGCAGAGTGATACGAAATTGCTGGAGTCCTCCAATAGTCCAGTCAGAAGTATTTCAGTTGAGAGGAGGAATTCCTCTTCAAATTTGTGCACTTCCCGTAATTCTATAGACATCTGGAAACTTGTTCACAAACTATGCTGTGAAATAATCTGAATGTTTCCAATTTTAAATCACTCATGGAACACTTGACTGTAGTTACTGGACTACTAGAAATTTCTGGAGTTACAACAGAATTAGCTGAAAGAAAATAGACCTTTGGGGTTCTCAACACAATTTAAACACATCCTGCACAACAGTTAAGAGGCCAAGAGGCACCCAAACAGAAATTCAAGTGAAACTATAAACTGAAGTGTCTTACCTCAGATAATCTCCAAGTCTAGCCACTTAAGGTACCTGTAAACATATACTGATGCTTTTCTCACTAGAAAATTAAGCACCTGTTTCATCACACCTGCAGAACTGCCACAAAGATGCTGAGACACTAAGTTTAGTCACCCTCAACTCCAGGCAGATGGACATCTCTATAATTAAGTCCATAACAAACAGAACTTCATAAGGTATTTGGAACACGCCCTGCTCGCCCCAAAAGTAACACAAGGAACAGCATTCACAGCTACTTCTGTTCAGAAAAAGCTAGTATAAGCCAGATATGTAGCAGCAGCACCAGCACCAGACTTTTGTGAAACAACCATCTAGAAGCTTGGAAACCCGGTTCCTCCTTCAGCCCAAGAAATTCAAACTTTACTGTATCCCAGAATAGTTCCACAGCCAGTGGAAGAAGCAAAACTGGGATGCTGCAAGACTTTTCTGTTGAACTCGTAAGTTGTAGAAATTAATCAAGACTCAGATCCAGAAACCAAGAGAAAGCATAACCTGCTTAGCAAATTTGATATACACCAGAAAGCAGTAAAACCAAATTCTAAGTTATATATAAAGGAGTAACAGTGACAATAGCAAGGAGACAACACCAAAATTAGTTCTCTTCAATGCCGTCAGGAAAATTTGAGTGAGCAAGAAGATTGACCAGATCTCAGACAGAACTTTAAAGGTTAAGTTCATAATTTTATTTAACCTTATTTTAAAAATAGCTACTTAAAGTTACTTTCATTTCCTTATTGAACATCTGGGAGAAGACTGGGAGAAGACAGAAAGTTGTTTGAACAGCAGCTTCTTCCTATTACTCGCCTTCCTTTTTTCTTGCTTAAGTGAGGAGTTCTGTTCTTTTTATGACCATATTCTGCCCTATTAATAGGTGTCTTCAAGCTGAGAAACTTACGGTGAAAATCTGACTTAATTACTATCTTCCAACATAGAAGAGCCTGTATAACACATGACAACAGCTCTGAAAAGAACTCAGAATCAGGTAAAACTAAATGAACATAAATTTCACTGCAACACTTTCACTGGAAGAACTCATGAAACTCTTTGATGCACAAATTGTAACATCCCTTTGGCTTCACTTTTTTTTTCAGTGCCATTTACATTACCAGAAGACCAATGCTGCACTGCTCTGTTTTCTTCCAGCATTCATGCTTTAGGAAAAATAATAGAAATTTGAGAATATTCAACAAGAATATAGAAGAAAGACTATATGACTGGAAAACAAGCAGCACAGCTAAGTCCCACACTAAAATAATCCAGAGAAATTCAGAATTCACAGCCTGTAAGAATGACTCCTCCCTTCAGGAAGAACTCTCATCCAAAAAAGAAATGTTACAGAACAAGCCATACACAAAGCTAAGTAGGGATAGCAACTACATACCTTTGAATAGAGAAAAAAACCTACTTTATTGACAAAAAATTGGAAAAAGCAACTTAAAGTATGTCAAGTGTTCCATTACACAAAGCCTCTCTATTTAACTACTGCCTTAAGCTATTTCAGCCAAGAAGTCTTTGGTCTGAAACAGTCATAATTATTCTTCTGGCCTTGGCTAGAAAGAGGAAACCCATTTGAATTGGCTGTTGATACCATTTAGGTATGTGCCTTCAATTGTTAGATGAGGAAACCTGCAAGACTGAAAACGATTTAAGAAGGTCAGTAGCCATACAGGGACAGGGGTGAAGAAAACAAAACTATTTCTGCCCAATAAGGAGTTACTTCAACAAAATCAAATAGCAATAAACAAACAAAATATCTGCCTCCACAAGATGTGATAAATTTAAACTTTTTGTAAAGCTGAACACTCGGTGACAATAAAAACTACTTTCAATAGAATGCTCAAGCATCAATATCATATAGCTTTCTATAGAAGTATGGGTTTTATCCTATCCATATGCTTCCTATCTTATCCTTCCACCATTTCTCAGCCTGAAAGCCAAGAATCAGGGAAAATAGATTTTTTCAGAGCATAAACAGACATAAGGAGGTATTCAAAACATTACCTTAAGAGCTTTCTACAACAGTCATATTACTATGGTTTTTTGAGGATGCCCCATACGTCTAAAATTTTATTTGCAATTGGCCAATACGATTAACAAAACACGCTTTGCTACTGGCTTAAAGAAAGTCATGATGAAATTTAATCTTTTAAATTGGAGTGGGAAACCTCTCTTGCAAAATCTTTTTCTGAAAATTAAGCTTTGTCTAAAGGAGAAACAAGAGTATGCAAATGGAGAAGGGCAGGGAATACAAGCAATAAGAAATGGTAAATATGCAAAAGGAAGTGTGGAAAAGACTTGTTGAATGGAAAAATCTACCAAGATTTGATTACAAATAATTTCCACTGTAACATTAAAATGGAAAGTAATAGCCCAGAAATAAAAGCTTATTTTAGAAATCCTCTAAGGAATGAAAATGAAGAAAAAGACAAGGCTGTTTGGTACTAACAATGTTTTCTAGCAGTCAGTACTGGAAAATAATCTTTTGTTTTCGTTGTTCCTGGCACCACCCAAATCATTTACATCACCAACTCTCACAAAGAATCCAAAGAGACAAAACAGAAATTAGGCTCCAAACCACAAAGATAAAGTGCTGTCCACCTATCACATCAGACAGCATTTGCTAGTCTATTGAACTAACAGGAACTTTTAAACGGCATATTTCCAATACTGAAATGCAAGGGTTTTAATTACTAGGGATATATGTTTCTTACAAGAACTGAAGTTGTCTTTCAAATATAGCTAGAAAATTTACTGAAGATAAAAACAACCACCACAAGATCTCAGTTAACATTAAACACTGCTTTGCAGATAAGATCTCACAGTGGCCAAACTTTCCTTCTAGAACCCCTCAATGGCCACATTTGTTCAACAACTTCAGCACGAAAGTTCTCGTTAAAACTTTGGGGAAATGAGCCAGTAAGGTCCTCTGACACTGTATTTTCCAAACTGCATCTGACTATTAAAACTATTCTTTGATTCAGTCGCATAAATGAAACAACTGTATAATTCAGAAAACAGATTTCTGGTGCTTTCAATCACTGAACAAAACTTTTCCCATCCTACCTTGAAAATTGTCAAGACTGCAGTATACTACTTGGTTGTAACTTTTATGTGAAATACCCCACCATGTATTATATGTCACAGTTAATATTAGATTTTTCTGAACCAGCTATATATTAATTGTCCATATTCTGCTTTAATCTAAAAATTGTATTCTGCCAATATATAATTTTAACTAAAAATCAGGATTTCAAAGGCCCTCTAAGTTTTCATTGCACAACAAAAATAAACATTACTGCAAGACCATCACAGCATTTGTGAGCATTAACAATTCTTATTGCATGGGGGGAAACCATGTAACTGAGTTCCATAATATGGAAGAATCCCTTCCTAACACAACCACCCAGTTTTTAGAATAATCAGGAACACTGTTTTCCTCAGAGGGAAAATAAAACAGTGGCAGCTGCACCCCCCCAGAAGGAAAACTGCCTGAAAATTTCACTCAAATTTTATCACTTGCAGCTCCCCTCTAAAAGGAATTAGGTTTGTTCTGTAGAGGCCCACAATTCTATGACCACAATAAACTTCCACAGAAAGTGTCAGTTTCTCAACGTGCCTTAACAGTGCCCTCAGTTTTCAAAGCAGACTAAAACTGCTGGTTATGAAGCAATCATTCATACCTTTACCACATAGAAAGTCACATGGGTTTGGGGGTGTCTGCATACATGCACCTCCACACCCCTTTGCCAATTAAGAGAAAGCATAAAAATACATTTTAGAACATATACATTAAAGACTGAAGGACCACAATTAAACTAAAACTCTGTGGTTTTCACACTTGAAGTGGGCATGACAAGATTAATTTGCTTGCGGTGTTCCCAAATTTGAGGAGGGCATTTAAGAATGTAAACTCAAAAAAATCCTAATCCTATTTTCTTGAAAGGACTAAGCGCCCTAAACCATGACCCAAAAATGGGCTTACTGAGAAAATGTGTTCAAAATACTGCAAACAGGATTACAGCTTACCTTGCAACAGTATTCAATTATTTTAATGGCTGTAACAACCAGCCCAACAGAGGCTTCATTACAACTAGAGAAACCTGTGGAATTCCAAGATTGTAAGGGAAAGTTCAATCGAAAAAGTTAATACTCCCTTTCAGCAGCAACTGTCCCAAAGTAGTTCTAGGCTTTCCAAAGTCATTTATTATGAGTTTAACTCTGGGTTAACAGAATAATAAGAAAGCAAGATGAATATATAGGAAAATATACACATTAATAGCCAAAAGAATTTATAATTTAAGACGATCCTCCACTCTCCTGAGCCCAAGCTTTAAGACCGCCAAAGACATCTTTATTCACATAGAAATATCAAATGGCAAAATAAGCTCTCTCTTCTTCAAGACACTACTCTAATAATTTTGTCATCTTGCCAGAAATACAGATCATCTCTAACCAAGGCCAAAGTAATTTCCTTCATGGAAGTTAGGAGTGAAGTTGTACTACACTCAAGACCCTCAAAGTCTGCAAGAAAAGTGCTATAGCCAATCACAAAGAAGACATAGAAGTGTGCAACCCTTACCTAAAAGCAATAACTAGGTAACCTGCAAAATTTTGATCAGGAACATCAAAGCAAGGCATGTGTTTGCAGGATTGAGTCTTATATTAAAGGAGATGCATGCAACTCCTAAACTACTGGGCTCCTACTGTATTTGCATTAAAAATTGGATAGGAGCATGTTTTTAATAGAAAGCCTTTAGACAGTCATAATAAAACATACTGCTTACTGCAGCTGTTAGCATACTCTACTACTATATATTCTTTTATCATAAGCAATGCAAATCAACCCTGAAATGAAAGGAAACCCCCTCTAGACTTACCCTGGTATTCCCTTTCCCCTAGGCACCCCCAGCACCTCCAGGCCTTCATTTACAAGCTTAAAAGCATCTGCACTTAAGAACTGAGTTGGACACACAGCATGATTTTAATTGAGGCCAGCATGAATTTAAAGTGCAAGTTACTCTAGAAAAACAACTCTTTCCTTGACAAACTGGTCAAGGTCAGAATTTGTTTTTTTCTTCTTCCATGTTTTACGTTCTAAAAGCACCAAGCACAGCAGCGTCCCAGACCCCGCACCACAGCCAACCAAACATAACTATGAGTCAAATGGACCCAGACCTTTGCCCCGACCTGCCTTGTTGCCCAAGAGAGCAACACAGAAGAGAGCACCAAGAGCCAACAGAGAAAACATCACGCTTTGTGCGCCATCCCCACCCGGTAGCTTCGGCCACCTGAAGCAAAGGCAGAAACGCCCACTCACCTGGGAAAGCGGGGATACAGGAAGCCCAGAGGGGAAAAGCGACACCAGGCAAGCCCCAGAAACCACATCCACAGAGCCGGACCCACAGCTCCCAGCCCACCCCCAGCTCCATCACCGAGGCGCTCACCTGGCAGGTACTCCGCCTTTTTTTTTAGCCTCGCTTATCAGCACGGCCTTGTCCTGTCGTTGCTGAGGAGAAACAAGAAACAGGAGGGGCGTAAAAGGAAGGGAAAGGCCGGGGCCCAACACAGCCCCAGCCCCTCACCTGTAAAACGGGCCCAGCCATCCCC